AGAACTCGAAGGGGGCAAAACTTTGTCACTGGAAACTTTCGGCCCCGAAACTTCCGCAAACTGTCCGTCTTCCTTCCGAGTGAAGATGCTACCGGCCCATCCTGAGGACAGAACCAGACCCTCGCTTGCTTCCTTCACTTCGCGACCCTAACCCACGTGATCTGGAGTATCTCTGAGAACGCTGCCATAGCGAAGCCCCTTGTGCAGGCCCCAAGCAAACGCAGTATCCTGACCAGGAACAGGGGTGGGATCCGAATCAGATTCCCCCCCCCTCGAACCCCCCATCAGAAACGCTAGCCATCGAGTGAGATTCGGTCGAGCGCGCAGCCATGGGCCCGAGAATATCTCCCTCAGCCTCTGCAGAAGTCTGAAGACTCGTCTTCCCCTGGGGCTCTGGATGCCCCTGAACATGAGTGGCTTCGGTCATTCCCGGGCGACTCGCGCAGACGTGACTCTCAACGTGGTTGCGCTGCAAGCTGCGCTGTCCGTCGCAATTCCCCCCCTCGCGCGCGCGCTGCGGCGCGCGACGCGAGCAGGGAAAGAAGAGCAGAAACGAGAAAACACCAGGATCCATCCTCGTCGAATTCTCCGTGCTCCTAATGACACGATGAGGGATTGATGATGATGCAGCAACAGGACTGACGGATGCGAGCTCTCGTTCGTCATCGTCCTCGCGCATCTGGACATGGCGCTCGCCAGTGTCTCCAGTGTGCGCTGCCATTGCCGTCCTGGGTTTGCCTTTGCATCCAGGGTCCCCGGGCCAGTGGCCTGTTTCGTGGCGCGTCTTGCATCTCGAGCGTTTCTTGATCTCCTGGAGCCGCTTCTTGCGATCTCCCAGGGAAGGCCCCCCTTGCCGCGTCCCTTGGGGGGCCAGGGCGTGCAGTGGTAACCCTTGCCTCCGCTCTTTCCTTTGCCCTTGCCCCTCCCTTTGGTGCCAAATTTGGCGACCGTATCCTCTTGGATCGCGTCAGAAGCTTCTTCCTCCGCGTATCCGGCCTTGGCCATCTCGTCGACCACCTCGACGTCGAGCTCGCGCTTTGCTTGACAGGGGCCCAGTGAGCATGCGATTCCTCGTCGACGTAGGTGCGTTCGTCTGCGTAGTCGCCCCAGGCCGCGTCGCCCCAGCAGTGCTCTGGCGCATAGCCGGACGCGTAGTGCCCTGAGGGACTCAGCTCCTCAGGGTAATGCTCCTCCTGCTCGTGCCACCCATCATCAGCAGTGTAGAAGGCGTGTTGTGGGCTGGGAAGCGCGCCTTGCCCTTGCCCGTGCACATGTTCTGGTAGCTGGGTCTGGGCTGCGTCCACGTCGAAGAGCTGGAGCCTTTGCCAGACTCACCCTTGCCTTTGTGGCGGATGTGTATGCGGCCGTGCCGGAGGATCAAGACGTCTTTGATCTCGTCGAAGGTTGTCACATTTCCTGTGGATGTCACCACCATCAGATTCTCCGAAGGCGAGAGGCCTGCGTGGTCCAAGAGAAGGGAGCCAAGCATAGCGTCGCTCATCAAGATCTCAGGACTTAACTCGGATCTAACTTGGAGACAAGTTTCCACCAGCGCTTCCTTCGGGATATGTACGAGACCATCGACTCACCGTTCTGCCGAGACAGGTGGTCCATATAGTCTCTGCCCCACCTGGAACAGGATCTTCGCTTCCTGCGCCTCTATGGGGAAGAGTGAAGTACGAATCGCTAGCGCCAGCTGGCCGATCTCATTCGGAATCAGAAGCACGTCCTTACCGATATCCATGGCAATATCGAATGCGTCACCTCTGAGGCCTTCTACAGCCCTGTTGACAACTGCGGTGATCACTTGTTGCTGTGGTGCACCCGTCTCTTGATCCACTGAGGCCAAGTCGGCACTCATGTGCATCTCTGAGCGGAATTCGCACCTTTGAAAATTGTTCACCGTGCCGTCGTAGATGTAGGAGCCACCCTTCGTTTCGGACCGCGTCAGCGCGTCGGCGCTCGGCCGATAGCGAAGAGAAGAAAGTGCCATGGAGCAAGGCCCGGCCCCCTAGCGAGGGAAACTGCCACTACAGAAAGTAAAGAGAGGTAGTGCGACACTCTCTGACGAGACGTGCGCGCAGTGGTACGATACGGGGATCGTGTGGCAGCTCCGCTACCAGTGTGATTATGATGCGTTTTAGCGCAGTGGCAAAAAAAGGCCCCCTAGAGGTCAAACGGCAGCGAGTGGCGCATATAGGCGCGTGACACATGCACTACCTCACAATATATGTGCGTATGTATGTATGCATGTATGCATGTATGCATGCATGCATGCATGTACGTATGTTGGTAGATGTGTCTATGTGTGTATAGTTATGTACGCATGGGTGTATGCACGTGTGCAAATATATACGTATGCATGCATGACTGCGTGCATGTTTGCATATATGTATGCAGGTATGTATGTATGTATGTATGTCTGTATGTATGTATGTATGTATGTATGCCTGGTGTGCATATAAATGCGGTTGTACGTATGCATGTGTATACATATGTATATATTTGTGTGTGTATGTATACACATGTATGTGTACATGTACGTGTGTATGCTTGTATGTGTGCGTGCATGCATATACGTATGTGTATGTGTACGTGTACGTGCATGTGCATGTGCATGCGTATGTGTACGTGTAGATGTATGTGTGCATGTGTATGTGTGTAGGTGTATGTATGGGTGTATGCGTGTATGTGTGTATGCGTGTATGCGTGTGTATGTATGTATGTATGCATGTATGTATGCATGCATGCATGTATGTATGTATGTGTGTATGTATGTATGCTTGTATGTATGTATGTATGTATGTATGTATGTATGTATGTATGTATGTATGTATGTATGTATGTATGTATGTATGTATGTGTGTATGTGTACATGTATGTATGTATGCACGCATGTATGTATGCATGCATGCATGTATGTATGTATGTATGTATGCATGTCTGTATGTTTGTATGTATGTGTATATGTATACACACTCACACCCCTTCACACAGCACACGGACCCCCCCTCCCCGTGCATCCCGCCTCATTGCGCAGGGGGGGGGGTCCCGCTCGCGGTGAGGACACCCTCCCAATTCGAGGGGGGCAAGGTCCCTCTGGTTTCCCCACGCCTGGGATGTTTGGAGGGGGGGGTGGGCGGTTTGAACCCATAATGCGACACCATAATGCGGTCGGAGATGTCGGACATTTCCTGGGGAAGCTTTTCACCCAGGAATCGCTTCCTGTCACAACCCTGGGGCCCAGCGAGGGCCCCCCTGAGAGGCCAGAGGAGGAGGAGGAGGAGGAGGAGGAGGAGGAGGAGACGGAGGAGGAGGAGGAGGAGGAGGAGGAGGAGGATGATGAACGATGAGGAGGAGGAGGAGGAGAGGAGGAGGAGGAGGAGATAGCGGCGGAGGACGAGGCCAGGAGGGGAGGAGGATGTGGGAGGAGAAGGAGAAAGAGGCAGAGTAAGAGCAAACATAACAGTAAAGTAAAAGGAGGAGGAGGAGACGGAGGAGGAGGAGAAGTGGAGGAGAGGAGGAGGGATGAGGAGGAGGAGGATGCGAGCGGGGAGGAGGGAGTAGGAAACGGGAGGAAGGGAGAGGGAGGGGGGAGGGGGAAGAGGAGGAAGGGAGGAAGGAGGTCCTGCCGTGCTCTCTCCTTCCTGGATTCTCCCCACGGCCCATCGCTCGTCCCTCGGGCCCAGGGGCAGGCCAGGCCGGCCTGGGGCGAGGGCACCTCGCCCCTTCGGGCGTTCCTGAGCGCTCTCGGAGCGTCCCCCGAGGTCGCGGCGCCTTCTGGTAAGGCGTCGGGTTGCGCACAGGCAGCAGCCCCGAGGTAGTTCCGGCTGGCGCCTCCAACATGAGACGAGGCCAGGACGAAGAGAAATTCGGACGAGGACAAGTCGAGAATCTCCGAGATCCCGCGGCTCTGGAGGATGTATCGGGCGCCGCGGCCTTATCGGAGCGTTCCTGAACGGGCTGAGAGCGTTCCAGAACGCTCTGGAACGGATTCGTCCTCGTCCTGGTCCCGCCCGAAACAAGCCCCCCCGAGGCGGTCTCAACGCCCCATCCCCAGGGCTCGGAGCGCCCAAGGGGCGCCGCTGGAGGCGGCGCCAGGGTGCCGAGACCAGCCCGGAATGCTCGGGGGGGCCTGTTGAGGTCAGCCGAGGGGGGGGGGGCTGTCCGTGCGCAACCCGAAGCCTTCCCAGACATGCGGTGGCAGGATTCTTTTTCAACGCGGCCCCCGGTTTCATCGCGAGTTGTTTTTCTGACGGCCCCGGAGCCCGGCGAGGGCCTCTAAAGGCCGAACACCAACAACCTCCCGCCGCGCCTTCTCACGACGCGAGCACGTCTGCATGGGTTGCCAACTCTTTCCTCCCCCGATCCTGGGGAAACCAAAAAGTAATGATACCGGAGAAAAAAAACAATCATAATCTTTTTACGGCTGTAGGGCTATATGGCTATAGGGCTATATGGGCTCTTGGGCGCTAATATGGGCTAATTATATGGGCTATATGGTTATATGGCTACAGGGCTATAGGGCTATCGGGCGATAGGGATATAGGGCTATAAAGCTATAGGGCTACAAAGCACCAGGCACCCGGGCACCCGGGCACCCGCGGGCACCTGGCACCCGGCCGTCACTGGGGCCCCCGGGCACTCGGGCATCCGGGCACCCTGGCCCGGCCACCGAATCGCTGGCAAAGCCCCCGGGCACCCGGGCACCCGGGCCCGGCCACCGAATCGGTGGCGAACCCGTGCACCTGGGCACCCGGGCACCCGGGCCCGGCCACCGAATCGGCGGCACACCTCACCTACCCTTAAATCCGTTAGGACCCCTAGAGGCAAGCTCTGTTTGGGGAACTACTGATGCTGCTGCTCCGCGGACCTCTCCTGGGGTGCGTTCTGGTCAGACTTTCGGGGCGTGTCTAGCGGCTGCGACGAGGGCCTCCCAGGAGGGCCCAAAAAGGCGAACACGAGGGAACGGTAGTGGTACGGGCATCCTTCCGCTGAGATCCTCCCCACGGCCCACGTCCCGCCGGGCGGGGCGCCCGCGGGAGCCCGCAGCGGGTCGAAGTGCAGCGCGGCGGGCAACCGGGCCGCGTCGAAGTCCGCGCGCGGCCGCAGGTCCAGCACGATCAGCCGCCACGGGCACGCTGGCGCCGGCTGCCAGGGTCTCCTGGCCTCGCCTCGGGCCCAGATCTCCTCCGCCTCCTCCCTCCCTCCTCCTCCTCCTCCTCCTCCTCCTCCGCCTCCTCCTCCTCCTCCTCCTCCTCCTGCTCCTGCTCCAGCTCGTCCTGCTCGTCCTGCTCGTCCTGCTCGTCCTGCTCGTCCTCCTCCTCGTCCTCCTCCTCTTCGTCCTCCTTGTCCTCGTCCTCCTCGTCCTCGTCCTCGTCCTCGTCCTCCTCCTGCTCCTGCTCGTCCTGCTCCTGCTCCTGCTCCTCCGCCTCCTCCTCCTCCTCCTCCTCCTCCTCCTCCTCACTCCTCCCCCTCTTTTCTCTCCTCCCCTCCTCCTCCTCTCCTCTCCTCCTCCTCCTCTCCTCCTCTTCCCCTCTTCCTCCCCTCCTCCTCCTCCTCTCCTCCTCCTCCTCCTCTCCTCCTCCTCCTCCTCCTCCTCCTCCTCCTCCTCCTCTTCCTGGTCCTCCTCCTCCTCCTCGTCCTCCTCTTCCTCCCCCTCCTTCTCCTCCCTTTCGCGGGCCTTGATCTACGACGATCGGAAAGCAAGAAACACGGCAAGATTTGTGTTCGGCAATTTCCGGCCTCCAGGGGGCTCTCGCTGGGCCACCCAAGCCGTCCAAAACATACTCGGGATGAAAAGCCGGCCCCAGGGAAAGGGTCGAGATCTCCAGCGGTATGATATTTCAGCCTCGGCGCTCCTCCTGCGTATCGGCCTATGGGACCCATCCAGCGGTATGTGACGGGAACATTGGCACTGGGGAAACGGTATCCGGGGCGTGTGGGGCGGACTTGATCCC